CACACTTCGGATTCAGAGGGCCGTCTTTCGCAAGAAGACCGCAACCCTCGCGGACATCTTGAATAAGCGGCGCCCGAAATGCAAAAAGGCCAAGGCCATTGTGCGGAAACTCGAGGCGGAGATCAAAGAACTGGGGGGGGAACTGTCTGATGAAGTTTCGTCCTGTAACTCGCTTCTCGGTGAAACCTCTTCCGAAAGTGAGAACAAGGACGAAAGTTCATCAGACAGTTCCAGTTCTAGCACGAACGCTGCGGACGAGGTGCCGGTTACAACGAAGAAGGCGGCTAAGGCCAAGCCGGCAGCAGCGAAGAACAAGGAGGAGGGTAAGCAGAGTGAAGGGAGTGGCAAGGGGCCACCCGAGGAGCTGGCGGAGGGGCCTTCTAAGAAGGTAACCCGACGTGGGAAGGACAGCTTCCCCGTGCTGGCTCCAGGTGATCCCGCACCTAATCACCGCGGTAAACCTGATGCCGACGGTGTTCTTTATCCTGGGTTTCCCGTAGGGCATCCCCAGCGGTGCGACACATGCGAAGTTCTTCGTCGTGGCTTTTCCCGAACGGGAAAGAAGCACAACGAGAACTGTCGCTGGCGCTCTCGTGGTGTTCGTCCTAAGGACAGCGCCAAGTGACGCTTGACAGTCGCACCGAGAAAAAACTGAGAGTGTTGTAATAGGTTTTGACACAACTGTCATGTGCGAGAAGTACACCATCGGAATCATGACAGGTACTGTCCTCGTGCTGGCCCAGAGTATGGGGCGACCGAGGCAAAGCAAGGCAACCCGCATTCAATCAGACAATGTAGCTGCAACCCTCAGCTACTCGAGTGTCTGAAATCGTGGGCTAGTGTAATGGGAAGAGCTGGGGTCTAAGATGTGACGGTTGGCATATTAAACCCTCTGTCGACCTGGCATGTTAGACCTTCCTTGTTCGCTTGCTGGAGGTATGCCGTTCAAGTCTGCTGTTGATTGAAATGTCTATGTCATGAATATGTATATGCGACAGGCATTATCACTAAGACTCATATGCTAAAGGCCGTACTGCCCATGTAATTTAGCGGGATCGTCAATGGGAACCCGTCAGATCATGGGGAATGGATGCGAAACGAGTGCGTGTTCCAAAAAACTCTGGGCGAGGTCCCGGTCCCGCGAGGCACACCGGAGAAACGAGGGTCCGAGAGGCAGGGTTTGTGGCATTGGCCGTAGTGGCTTAAATCCTAAACGAAGGTCCCAGAAGCAAGGTGCCGGCTGGACCTTCTTTGCCTTTGAACCGATTTCCGTTCGACGAATTGCGGGCGGTATGTGTCTTTGTTCTACACGCCGGGTGTGGTCGTGGCGAGGCCGACGATTTTCCGACTCCATCGAGAGCAGCACAATCGTAAACGGAGGCCACCTAAACTGCATGAATTCCCTCCGTCACCAGAGTTGGTATGGCATAGCAGTGCCATCGGATGAGTTTTGACCACATGACCATATGCAATGTCGCTTCATGGCTCAAGCTGGTCTGAGTGATACTATTTCACAAAGTCACCGCAACTCACCTGCAATATGTAATGTCAGATCATGTCACTCAATCAAATCAAGGTGGCAGTGGGCTGCTGTCTGAGCATGTAGCTATGCTAGCTTGTGCCCATTCTAAGGTCAATTCGATCTTTCAGCCCACCATTTGCCTTCGGACTGACGAATAGCTTTGATTTGCACTGTATGCTATGCAACTACGATGTTCGCATATACTCACCCGATCGCAACTCTCGACCGGACGTGCAGGAGGATGATTGCATTCTCGAAGTGCCCTTGGTTCGCTGACCCTGACTGGAAGCTGTACTGCACCGTGAGTATTGTTCCAACGGGTACTCTGCAGCATACATTCGGGTATATCTCCTGACCTAACGTGTGTCCGAGGTCATCATCCGATGACAGCTCGGAAGATGAGAACTACCGCAAGAAGCTCAAGGAGTGCTGTGTTTGCTGCAAGACAGACTGCGAACGACTGTGTGTGATTGCTTGGCCAAGGTCTCATCGATCAGGGGTGGCGCATCGTCAAGTACTGGGCTCAGAAGACCGTATCCCGACAGTGTCTGGTGTTGGCTTGCTTGCTGTGTATGCAACATATATGTATGCTGTGCATGTATGACAGCACAAGAGTCAAGGGTGAAGACGAAATTCCCCGTACCAGGACTACGGCGCATAAGTCAGCGAAAAGACTGTTGTGCTTCTGTCAGTTGTGCAGCAGGAAAACGCAAGGGCCGCAACTACGTCTGTGTCGCAGCGGCAAAGACCAGCACAGGGGAACATGAGTTGTGGCGTAGAACGTGTCAATCATGATTTGTTGCAACTGGCCTGCATTCTGTAAGGGAAGCTGGATGAGGACGGCCGTTGGACAAAAACTCTGCTACTGCCTCGGGTTTCAAACTATTTTGGCATTGTGCATCTAATGCGCCTCTGAGGTGTGGCAAGACCAATGGTACGGTGCGTCCATACGTTGCATCAAGCGACAACATGTGGGTCTCTGAGTACCAAGCATGACGATACGAGTAGTAGTTCTTATCATGCATCGGACACGCTACGATGTGATCTAGGAGTCTCGCTGCTGCTTCCGGGTCCGAGACGGCCATCGACCCGTGATGGTCTCAGTTTCTGAGCAAGAAAGTACGAATGACAGATTTTACCACACCAACACGATGTGTCATCTGGTCTGCTTGGTCAGGCCAAATGTGACAAGTCCGCCGTCAGAAAGGGCAGCACGGACGCTCCTTGACATGGAGTGTGGAACTGAGTTCTTATCCTCCGTGAGGCTGTGTCGTAGCAAATGTTGCTGGCGTTATGTCTAATGATTAGTCTAATGGCCTTCTGAGGTGTGGCAGTACCAAAGGTACGGTGGTGCGTCCATATGTTCCGTCAAGCGACCAAACGTGGGTCTCTGAGTGTGCCACGTGACATTACGATTCATTAACTCTATAATCATGCGCCGGGCACGTTGCCATGTGATCTATATTAGGAACCTCGCTGCTGCCTCCGGGCCCGAGACTGCAATCGACCCGTGATGTCCTCAGTTAACAGCAGAAATAATTACGACCGTGACAGATTTTGTGCATACCTGTGAATATACCCAGACGATGTACCGTCTGGTTCATTGTGTTGAGGCAAGACCTGACAACTCCGCCGCCAGAAAGGGCAGTGCAAACGCCGGTCGACATGGAGTGTGGAGCTGAGTCATATTCCTGACCCCAAAGTCTCGGTTATGCACAAAAATTCTGTTTCAGGCACAAGTCCACGATGCCAGGGTCTTAATAGCACAAGTCATTGAATCAGTGCTGTCAAGCAGCGTTTGTCTGTTAATGCAGATAGCATATGTGCACTCGTGCGGTTAGGAGACAGCTTGCCAGAGCAGTCTTGGCCTGCCAGTACAAGCATGCAGCAACAAAACAGAGGCCCGATTCAGTCCAGTATCCATGGTACACGGTCTGCGTACAGTCGCCACGGTTCCGAGTGTAGTTCTTGTGTCTCGTGCGCTGTTTCTAGCTGGTACAGGTGTCTGGAAGATTTCCCCGCTGTTGACACCGTCGAGAAAAACGTCCACTGTCGCTTGCCAGCAAACTGGGGCTCCTGTCACTTTGCTTGTGTGCACGGTGGCCGTGTGTGAGGGATTTGGATCGGCTACTGCTGGAAACGGATCTCTACTGGGTCCGACCGAGTGTGTGGCATGGCTTTCAATGCTTCGCGACAACCTGTGCAAAGCTGAATGTTGCTTAATTCTTTGCAGTCGACTTGCTCGTCCACGAGATCTTCAATCGGGAAGTTGTTCGCAGCAGCTCGCAGGTCTCTGTCGCAGCAGAGACTCGCCGAACGTCCTTGATGTCTGAACATTTGCGCAGTGGAATACTTTTCAGCAGCACCTAAGGATTCGCCGAATTGGCGTCGTCTGCCAAGGCCTCGTTGGTACAGACTCTTCTATAGGGCAGGCCGGTCATAGGAGACTGCGCCATGCAATTCCTGGCCCACCGCAGCAACTGTGAACACGCAGACAGGCCGATGCCGAAAGCCTGCTCGGAAGCAGCCAGCCAAGGAGACCGGCGCCGCAGGCAAGGACATGCAATCACGTGCGTCCGAGTGCTGCTACACTCAAGTATATGTTATGCCAAATGCTTATCTTCTCATGAGGACACCTCTACACAGACACCTGTCTTGTGGACTGCCTGCGAGCCCACGGACTCAAAGTCCCTTATACGAGCCACGGTCCTTTCTGGGCCATCGCCGACGGATGCCGGTTCACCGAGCCGTTCGGGATGCTTGGTTTGCATCTACTTGCTACATGTACAGAACATCCTTCAAAAACATTAAGGAAAACGATCAGGCACGCGACACCAGCAGAGTTCAAGATGGGTGGATCGTATATCATGGGCCATTCGTGCCATTTCATCGCAATGCGGATGGACGTCGACGACGGGCTACAGGTGAACCTGACGCACAAGCGCCACCTCTGGCAGTCAGCTATTCTGGTACCTTACCTCCAGGCTCGGTGCCACTTCCTTTCTGGGCTTGTCACCCTCCTGGCCCTGTGCTTCCGCCGAAGGTTCCCATGCTCCTCTGTTCCCTCACTGGCCACATACTGGTCAACCCGGACAAAGCGCATGCCTTGTTCGCAATTGAGGCTCGCAGCCCGTCATGTGCGTGTGCAAACAGAGGCTTGCTATGTAGCCCAGGCCTGAAATCCGAACTTCAAGCCGTTGAGCAGCTTTGTGCAGGATCGCAGGAACATGGCCGCCCAGGAGCCATTGGACGTTAAGGGTGGCAGTGCCGGTCCCTTCACCCCGTTTCCGATTCTTGGATAAACTTATTGAGCATGCAATGCAATCTCCTGTGAAGCAATGGCAACTCACGTCCTAGCACTCACATTCCGTGCTTCAGGCATTACCCGCTTCCCTCACTCGACGACATTCCTGAGTTCAAGGCATTCAAGGACATATATCTATATTACAAGATATAGGAGGCGGTGCCCGGTGTCGCAATGTACGTTGCATCTTACGCAGGAGAGCAACGAGCAGCGCCGTTCCATCGTGACAGAGAATACTTCTCGGCAGAAGGCGTGAGTTCGTTGGCCCGCCGCAGTCTCTTCCAACTTGCTGCGGGGGCAGTGCCCTTTACTGAGGTGGCATCGTCCAGCGCCGGCGCGACGGCGAAGGAGACACCTGCACGTTTCACACACGAAGGAACAAGCTTCGAGGTGACAGCTGCCGGTTGATGGCATACATACTGTTAATCTGTTAATTAATTAATTATTCGTGCGAAGAGGAGCCTAGCGAACCTCTTTCAGATCTCCTTGATATTCTTCCTGGTGAGACATTTTGTGTTCCTCGGCTCGTGCCTAGCAGATAAGTGTTTCTGTGTTTTACGTCCTTTAGCTAAGGATATGCTGATGCGGGTGGCAGCCGCCGAGCGCCAGAAAGAACGGATGCCTCGGCACTTTGGGCAGTATCCGAACCCGGAGTGGCTGCCTCCCCATCTTGAGGCATGCCACAGACCCAGGGGTATGTTCGTAGCACGGCTTCGACCTGGAAAAGCAGGGTGTGGTGCTGACATCGCGACGGACGGAGCCTTCGCAATGCACTCCCAGCACCCGCTGCTTCAGACACTTGGGTTTGCCCAGAATACAACGCAGCACTTGGTGTACTGGGCTGAACGAAAGATAGTCTTTTGGGGAGCGAGTGCAGCAGAAGCTTGGAGCATCTGCCGCGACACCATGTTCTTTTCCAGGCCAGGGTACGCAAGTGTGTGATTTTTGTGCTTGTGTCCCGCCATGTGAAGTGTGAACCATCACGCAGGAATGGCATGCTCCCGGCTTCCCGCCATGGCCCCGGACCAAACAGATGGAACAGGCGGGCGTGGCCAAGCTATGCACAGCATCGCAAGTTAAAGTTGAAGGGGCTGTGCGCGGGCAAAGTCTCCTTTGCCATCATGCTGTGGCAGGCGAGGTGAGGTTGTCCCCTCCGCAAGCGGACCGTGGAAACGCAGGCCCCCGCAATTCTGACAGTTTTTTGGGGCTCATAAGTCGCGTGTCAGAGACTGTACTTCCGGCTGTGAGTATTATTTCTTCTGCCTGTGAGGTACAAGCAGGGCAGCCACGTGCCCGCAGCTCCAGATTCAAAGGATCATGATTATGTGGGAGGTTCAGCTCCCAGTGACTCACTTGCCCAGTGCATCAGCCACCGCATTGTGGTTGGGAGGATTCAAGATGTTCAGAGGGTCGTCAGAGCAAACATCCGGGAGTTCGTTACAAGCCCAGCTCTGTGGCTCCGCGTGCCAAACCCTTTCGACGTCGGCATTGATGCTCGTACTTGGAAGCACTACATGGATTGCGTGGAATTTGAGTCCGGTAAGATCACCCCCGATGATGACATCGACGCACAAAGACATCGAGACCTAAAGCGGCCAGATCAGCATTCTCTTTCCGATCTGGAGCGGGCCATAAAGCGTTTGGACGCTTGGACGAGGGTTATGCTTCGCCTGATTGAGCACGGGGAGATGGTGGACATAACTCTTATCCTGTCACCAGTTGACCCTCTCATCTCCAAGAGGGCTTGGGAGAGGCACTTGTGGAGCGTGCGCTGCAGGTTGGCAGTTCTGAGCGGGCCTGTTGTTCCAACACCGCAGCAAGAGCCTCCTCCCCATGATTATTCGGGTGGGAAGACAGTGGATGCGGCTGCTGCAGATCTTACCAGCTTCGTGAGGGATCTTCACTTCGATGACACAACGCATGATACAGCTTTCATGTTCGATGTGGAGCTTGATGACGATGCTTTCCTGCATCAGCCCCTTCCTTTGCGCCCCCTTCCACCAGATCCAGACAGCCAGGATGGCTTCATCAGGCGGCCAAGGGCAATCTTGGAGGAGCCCGAACAGGTTCAGCAAATAACTCTCGCCGGAGATGATTCTGATAGTGAAGAAGGCGTCTGGTATCCATCTTTCGATTTGTCGGATGGTGGTTACAACGATGTTGTATTGAATGCAGTGCAGCCTCAGGACGGACAGAAGCCCAGCACCGACTACGAAGGAGGAGGCTTGCTGGATGAACTGCTGGTTGATCTGCCAGGTTTTTACTTCTCCTTCGACTACCTCAGAAAGTTAGCATGCACCTGTACGAAGATGTTGCGTGCCGTTCAAGATCGTCGGCACTGGCGGGGCAGAAGAGTTTCAGTGAACACGGAGGAGTTTCAAGATCCGACCAAGTTGCGCTGGATGATGGAGTCATACTTGTGCGCGCACTTGGTCACGGTGAACATTCGCCAGCTTGCCATGTTCCATGTCTTTCCTCGCAATGTCATGCTGGAGTGGACTGCGAGAGGTGTTGTTGGAGGACCTGGACCTGCAGCCTTCCGACATATGGCCGGCTTCGAGTCATCTGGCCCACTCATGGGCGCTGCCGTATTCGATGTTGTGCTGCCTTGCAATGTCGTAGGCATGTACATTGGTGTACGTGACTGGTGTGATTTGAACAGACGCAGACAGGCGTACTGCAGGCTCGACAATGTCTTTCTGGATAACGCCATGGCTTCCTTTGGACTAGCTGACCTTCCGCCGCAGCCGCATGTCAGCCGCAGACCTGTTCGCTTGCAACCCAACCGTGTTCACCGCTTCAGTGTCCGCTGGCACGCGAGGCTTTTCGAGATCATGTTGGACGGCGTTCACATTGCAACAGCCAGGGCTCGGGAAGGAGCGCCGCCTGCTCCACGGGCTTTATCCAGGCTGTTTGTCTGGGCTTTTGCTCGTCCCACTCCGGACCTCGTCAGCATGGTTCAATTTCGCCCAATACGTTCACCAGTGGAAATGACAGCTACAATCACATGTGTCATCTGCAACAGAGACTTCGGGCTGGGCATGCCTCGCTGGTGCGTGTGTCCGCGTTGCGACACATGGGTTTGTGCGGCTCACGCTGGACAGCAGCCTGAGCGCTTCTGTTCTCGGTGTCCGAACCTTTTGCTCGACTATGTCGGCGGAAGTTGCAGAGATGAGAAGCCGTATCCCAACGCAGGAGGATCGACAACATCCACTGCGATGACACCAGAACAGTGGTTGCGCCTCACTTTGCACCGACAGGAGGCTCTTCGCCGACGTCGAGGCAGCAGCAAGGGATATGTCCAGCTTGAGTCTGAGTTCAACCGAATTTGGCAGGCGTCCATGAGTCCCTTGTGCTGTCCCACGTACGGGCGCGGAACCTCGCAAATTCGACTTCCCCTACCGGCGAGAACCCCGTTGACGCTGCCTGTTTTAGAAGACTGCCCGACGAACTTTCTGGAATTTACCATTCCTTCTGTGGATTGTGATCTTCTGCGTCTGGCACATAAACACCCAAGAGACGACTCAATACGTTTCGTGGAGGAGACGCACACGTATTATTTGCGAGAGTGCAGGATTCCATTGTCTGTGACGGGCCTAGTGCATAATTTCGCGGCAGAGTTTGATGCTGACAAGGCGATTCAGTGCATGATGCAGAGCAGACGGTGGCCTCGACCAGAATATTCTGTCGAGCATGGCGGCCTCCTGATTCCAATGAGCCCGCCCCAAATAAAGGACCTTTGGAAAGCAAATGCAACTGAGGCTGCTGCCAGGGGCACATGGTTGCATCTTCAGTTGGAGGTTCTTCTCAATGGAGGCAAAGTCCATGAGAACAAGGTGGAGCTGCAACTCTTTTCAACGTTTCTTCAGCAGATGCCAAAGCTAATTGCTTTCCGCTCTGAATGGTGTGTCTACGGCGAGGAAGAAAAGCTGGCTGGGTGCATAGACTTCGTGGCACAAACACCTTCGTCGGATGTTATCCTTTTCGACTGGAAGCGCACAAAGCAGCTACGCAGGAAGTATGTGTCTCTGTGGTCCACCATGAAACAACCTCTTTCTCATCTGGACGACTGTGCCGGCATACATTATCGCTTGCAATTGAACTTGTACAAGTACCTAATCGAGAAGTACTATGGCTTGCGTGTTGCTGCTATGTACGTTGTTTGCCTTCATCCCGACAACCAGGAAGAGGGTCCTTTCATTGATTGCGTGCCAGACATGCCGTCAGAGGTAGACGCGATTCTGGAGGTTCGCCGGCTGAAGCTTGCAGGCCAGAGCTGCGATTACATCGGTGGATCCTCAGGTTCAGGTCAGCTACCTCAGGCAGACGCAGCAGACGGAGATTCTTCCCAGCTTGATTCGGCGATGCCAAACATCGGTGAAGATCCTGAAAATGACCACCGGCCATCTGAAGAAATGGACGAGCAGTTGGACAGGGCCTCTCTTTCTGCCCTTACGCAAGATTTGCAGGCTGCCATAGATGCGGTCGAGTGGGACGAAAGTAGCCGCACGGTGTTGTCCAAGGCCAGAAAGAGGAGTGCATTGCCTGGCGCCGCCAGTACAATGTCCAGATTTGAAAGTACTTTCAACTCTCAGCTGCAACGTGCGAGGGAGTCTCTGGAGACGGCCATTCCATCCAACCGCAACGAAGAGAACAACATTCTTCAGCAGACTGCTACCATCCGGCGCAACGTGATTGCGCAGGCCGGAGAGGTCCCAGAGGACCTACTGAGAGTAATTGTCGCAGCGACAGTGGTCTATCGGATGCGGCTGAGTGATATGCATGTCCGAGAGCAAGTCTTGCTGCTCTGGGTCATAGAAGGTGAGGTTCATATGAGATGTCACGGAGGCGACCTTTACTTTTACCGCGGTGGTGCCTTCACTTTGCACCGTGGCATTCCACCGCAGGAGACCTTGGCAAGGTGCAAGCGTTACATGTTGTATCTTGAAGGCTTGTTTCGTCTGCTACCAGGCCCGAGCCCGAAGACAGATGCTGAGGTCCTAAGTGCCGTGATGAATCTGTACGTGGAGCACAATCGAAACTCTCGAGAGTTCTTGAGTGCATGCGAGGATGCTGCTCGCGTTGCCGTCGTTAGTCGTTCTCGCTCTAGCCGCCGTCTTGGGGAGGAGGATGCAGCCCCGGAGGTGCATGACTGTTCGCTGGCAGATGCTATTTCCAAGGTCGGCTTAACCATGCAGCGGCATCTACTTGATGACAAGATTTTCAGTCTAGTGGTGGAGTGGTGCGACACACCGCTAACCCGTGCGTCAGGATGCTCGTACCAGGACTGCACAGTGCTCTACGATTGCAGTCAGGACAGTTATGTCAACTTTGTCAGCGACAGCCCGAAGAATAATATCTACACGCACATCCCACACCCACTACGCGATCCAGTGCTGGAAGAAGCTTTGCAACGAACGCTTGCGTTCTACTCCGAAACCTTCTGGCTGAACAATGATGCAGCTTGGTCTTATGGTGCTGAGTCCATGGGTCTGTTCAGTTTTCTCCGAGTCACACGTCCTCCAGCAATACGACATCCCAGGTCTTTCGCTGCAACCAGGCGGCCATTGCGCTCGCCAAACGAGGCGAGAACGTAGTGCGATGTTTCATTGGCATCAGTCCAGGAGGCCAGACATGCTCTCTTGGAGTAGCATGTTCTCGTCAAACATGTAAGCGCCATCATTGTTGATTCGTCGAGTGCGAGTGACAAAGAAGCACCATCAGTGTTGCACAGGTGTGGGGCAAAGCCTGTACTCCAGCCATCTCGATGCGGTTTACGCTTCCAACCACAAATTCATCGACCCAAACATATGGTTTGATGAGACCGAGATGAGGAAACAGGTCGAACAAGCTGCCGGGTGTTTTATTCTCACGGCGCAAGAAGCGCCCGAAACGAACAGGCGCATGAGAGAAGATCTCTACAAGAAGACTATGTCGGCTGACGGCATTGCAGGCAGACGACCTTATGGAATTATCACCCGCATGATAGAGCTTGTTGCATGGAAGAGGTATGAGCTGAACCGACTCATGAGATTTGTGGGGGTAACAGAAAAGAATTTCGATTCCATCTTCAGACGATCCTGTGTCTGGTTGCCGCAAGCTCGTTTCATTGAGGAGACCATCATCAAGAACAAGTTCACCGATGCCAATACGGCCGGCTACTTTCGCAAAGACGATTCCCTGAAGAAATTCCTTTCTAGCGGACCCTGTATTGCAGCAGCATTGCGGTTACAGCATGGCTTCGAAGTGCAGCACTCTCGTGAGATGTGCAAGGATCTGATCGAAGCATATGCCAATCAGCCGCTAACCGAGGACGCAATGAGGGAAGCGTGCGGTCTGCCTCGCAAACATCGGTCGGGGCCGGACGGTGAACTCACCATTCCTGTGGATTCTTCTAGCCAGGAGAGTAAGAAAGATACCGACCAGCAGTTTGTCAATGTGGCTGAAGCCATCCGGGAGGAATGTCTGCAAAAGGGCAAGACAATATTCACGAAGGGTATGTTCAAGTACCTGAAGCTGCCGACCGAGCACCCAACTGACATGACAAGGGATGCTATATGGGAAGTCCTACTTTCGCGCAAGTTGGTAATGGCCGCCAACCTGGACAACTCCAAGTACAAGGATTGGCGTGATGCCTTTCATTCAGGTTCCGGTCAAGCTGGCCACTTTCGTGAACACAAGCCCTGGGTCGGATGTGACACATCGGAAGTGCATGATGTGGCATCTCTATTGAAGTATGCCAATGGTTGTCCTGACAGAGAAGCCAACGTTTTTCAAGTTCTTGAGTATCTGGACAAGTCAATAGCCAGGCTTAAGAAGCGAGGCAAGCAGTCCGCCACTGCCATTGAGAAGATGGCCAACCTGGAGAAGATGAGAAAGAAGTTGGTCGCGTCCGAAAGGATGCTAGAAAGTCTTTTGCGTGACCAGCGTGCTCAGTCACATGAAGCTCCGGAAGGTAAAAGGAGAAGGATAGCCTGCAAGACATCTGCCTGTGTTGTTAATGCAGCAAGGGTGGAGCAGACGTTTCGGTATCGACGCAACTTCCAGGACCTCATTCGCACCAGAGCATATGTGGAAGGCGATGGTGCTCAGAAGTGCTCTCGAAGGATTCTGCAGATACTTTGTGCTGATACGCATGATCTCGACATCTCCAATTCCGTCTTCGTCATTATGCATCAGTTGTTCGAACGGCTGGACATGAAGAAGGTAATGCCAGCACATCTTTGGGAAGTTCTGAGAAAGGTAGCTACAAATCGAAGCGGTGTCTGCAACGAATTGGGGCTGACTGTCAAAGAAGGCAAGGAGGTGCTTCACTCGTGCCTTTTCGGTGCCAATACTCCTGTAAGCCTTGGCACCAACGAGTTTATGCAATCATTCCAGCGGATGGCGCTCTTCATGCGCTGGACGGCGTGCTCGCTGCTTCCCGATGTGTATGAACTTGTGAGGACTATGAAAGAAAAGCGAAATCCTGATGCATCGGTGTTATTCTATTTGTATGCGCTGGTGGAAGACACTGTTCTACAGGCATGGGAAGACCATCTGGTGCGCCAATTTAGCCCGAAACATATCTCCCTGCACTTCGACGGGCTACGGATCGACGCGTCGTGCTTATCTGGAACACCGTTGGGAGTCCATGGTGCAGAAACGGAAAAGGAGATCTTGAAAAGAACAGGGTTCAAGGTGACTGTTGTCGAGAAGCAGCACAAATACTTCATGGAGTTATGCAGGCAATATGGAGCCGCAAGGGACGATGAGGCTTTGCACGATGCTAAGTATGCGTGTCTGCGAAAAGATGGCAACTGTATTCTTCGGGCAGTGGCCCAGCTGTTTCCAGGGAAGGCG